AATTTAGAGAACTACCCATATGCTGCCGGCAACAGTATGCTGTGAGACAGCTCCACACGTGAAGGCCTTCGGACCGCAGAAACTCCACATACGATAAGGGCCTTGAAAGCTAGAGCAGATTTTGTTGGTGTATATCATACTATACCTATATCCAGGAGAGCTAAGGAGTCCCAACAGCATATGACATCAGATACAAGTTCCGCAGGCCCCCAAAATTATTTAAAGCCCCGGGGTCTTAGCGGTCGTTCTTGGAGGTAAACAAAAGACGTCAGGTTTTTGTTTAGGGTTTAGGGCTCAGCGCCTTAGGGTTGGGAAGTTTCGTTCAGTTTGGCATTAGACGGGGATGATCCCTATCCTATGCTTTGCTCAGTTTTGTTGTGCCTAAACCCTAAACCCTAAACCCTTATGTGAGGTTTCCGGGTTCATGTTGGGTTCACAGTGGAAGCCGCCGGCTGCCTCCTGAGGCCTTCAACGAAAAAGAGTCTAAGTATCCGAGGTTTACGTTAGAGCTTAAAGCTTTGCCTGAACGACCTCAAGCCCCAAACCTCAACCTTACACCCTAAACCCCAACCTAGTCCTTAACCGGAAAACCTTGAATACCACAACAAAAACCCTTACCAATAAACCTGTTGAAGATGCCTTTCCTTTGTGTATTGACAGGCGTGCCGGCAGCATGCAAGAACGTAACATCTCCGAAAGTGCTGTGCGCAAACGGATCGCGGTATGTAGGGTTCGGGGATTAGTTTCGCCTTGGGGGGTAGCTGTGGGCATCTGTTGTTTTATGGCCAGCTTTGCAGCTATGCTTCGGCACTGAACCGATTCGAAACTCACGCCTCAGATGCTTTAGCCCCTACCCTACCCCGAATCTACACTGAACTCTGGGATAAGGCACATGACCCAGCTCTGTGAAACCGAGGCGCATGGTGAAGTAGAACCGTCCACCGCCGTCCTGCTTGTTTTATCGGTTAGGGTTTAGGGTTTAGGGTTTAGGGTTTAGGGTTTAGGGTTTAGGGTCAGGGCCTCGGTCAGGGTCTTACTAAGGGCACTCACTATGACAGTGAATAAAATAGGTCATTGCCATAGTTTTTGGGCATGTAAGCCATTGCAGGGCTGCTGTGTATAAGCAGCGGTATACTTTTTGACCTCAATATCCCCCAAAGCATCCGAGCCTGATGATTGCAACAGCCGAGGTCCGATATCAAAACCGTCGATCTTCGAATAACCAAGGGTTTCGGATGTATCCCTTTCACCCTGAAACCCTGAAGCCCCAACGGGTGTAGGGTCCAAAAGCTGCACCTCTCACAAAACCCAACACTCACCTCTAAGGTTGAACCCATGGGCCCCTAGTATGGGCTTTTAAATCTGGGATCCTTATTTACCTACTATATACCCTATATGTACCCTTAAGGGCTTCCAGAAAGGCCTGAGGGTCCACATTTGGGGCCCATACTTCTAACCTTAGGTCACCGAGGCACCATGCAAGCGGTATGAAAGCCCTCTTGCTGGATAACCTTCCAGCCGCCCCTAAACCCGAAACCCTAAACCCTAAACCCTATATAACCCCTAAACCCTAAACCCAACACTCACCGAGGCACCATGCAGGCGGTATGAAAGCCCTCTTGCTGGATAACCTTCCAGCCGCCATTCGCCCAAATCGCCGCGGAATGGGCCTTACACAGGCTTTCGTTCTTCAGGGTTGCCTGGTCTCGGGTTAGGGTTTGGGGTTTAGGGTTTAGGGTTTAGGAGTTTAGGGTTTAGGGTTTAGGGTTTAGGGTTTAGGGTTTAGGGTTTAGGGTTTAGGGTTTAGGGGTGCAAATAAGCGCCGAATGCAACAAGTCCCTGCGGTGCACTCAAACTGAACCTCAAACAGCTTTTTTTTGCGGAGCTTGGTTTCATGGTCGGCATTGTGTCCCTTGACTCATGTATGCCACGCACAGAGACAGACGGAATTTTAGGTGCAGGGTTTAGGGTTTTGGGTTTGGGGTTGGACTATGGAAGGTATAACCAGGCTCACGGAAGCTTCGAGTAACTAGAGCCAGAATCCCAATGGCATACATACCCTGCGCCCTAGACTAAATACTAAATGCCTTGCCTGTATCCGCCATCCCTGCAACCAGTAGCAGTTATGGCCCCATGATGATAGCGTCCAGCCCTTAAAGCGGTAGGCTCCTGGCGCGGCAGGTGAAACCCCTACAAAAGCCTAAAGAGCAAAATCGTTCTTCGGGTTCTCCGATATACGTATGATCTACCTGCTTATCATTGTGCAATTGTCTTGAAGTCGCCTTAGCCCCTATATTGCGCACTTGTTCCCCGAATAGGGAAAGACACACCTAATTAGAGATCCTAAGCCCCAAGACCCTAAACCCTAAACCCTAAACCCAAACCCTAAACCCTAAACCCTAAACCCTAAACCCTAAACCCTAAACCCTAAACCCCAGACCCGAACCCCGAATTAAGTAAGACCGTTCAAGGTTAAGGGTTAAGGGCCCTAAAGGCGAACTTCTTGGAACCGACTCGGCCTTGTAAAGGAGAGGATCTTTCCTGTAGTCCTCCAGACAGTGAGGATCGAATCGCGGATCCATGGCTGCATGGGCCGGAAGGATTTCGGTTCAGGGCCGGGATTGATTGAGACTACTTCGAGGCCCAGGGGACTTAGTAAGTGGGTTATAAGAAGGGTTATAATTGGGGCAACTCCAGTTAGGGTACTTATAACTCTACTTATAACCTACTTACTAAGTCCCCTGGGCCTCCAAGTAAGGGTCCATGTATCCATATGAGCATACTCTGACCCGAAAAGACCTATAGAGGTACTACTTCAAGGTCCAAGTATATACTATATGACCCTAAGCCTTAAACCCTAAAGTACATGGACCCTTAGGGATTCTGTGTAAGGTTGTATGCGGGTCTTGGAAGGGTCTACGGCTTAAGGCTGAGACTTTGCAAACTATCCGCAGCATCTGTTTAGGGCTTTGGGTTTAGGGTTCTTCAGGCTTATGGTTTATGTAGATTCACCTAATCTAGAGTCCCGGGTTTCTCATAGTGTACAATCCTGGGGATCTTCTTCTGAGGCTTGCCGGCCCTAATACTAGGGGTTTAGGGTTTAGGGTTCAGGGCCATGAAGAGGGTTGTCGGGGATTTTCTGGAACTGTAATGTTATTATATTACCAATTGACCGTACTGATTGTTGTATCTTCATTCTGGCTTCCATTCCCCAAAACCCAAATGCTGAATTGCATCTTTTGATTTCTGCTAGGCCGTGGCCAGGGTGCTGCTGGAGCAACGCTAGCAGCACACAAAGATCATCTTGTAGGCAAACCGTAAACATCACACCCTAAACCCTGAGCCCCAAACACGAAACCCTAAACCTAAACCCGAAGCCCTAAACGCTAAACTCCAAACTCTAAACATTACACCCTAAACCCTAAACCTAAACCCGAAGCCCTAAACCCCAAACTCCAAACGCTAAACCCAGCATCCGAAACCTTGAAGGTCACCATGGCATGTAGATGCTTCTGGAATCAAGGATGGAAGAAAAACCACAGCCAGGGAAGGCCCCAGTTGCAATACACGTAGAATAGGAATTCTTTAAAAGGTTTAGGGTTTAGGGCTTTAGGGTTTAGGGTTTTAGGGTTTAGGGTTTAGGGTTTAGGGTTTTAGGGTTTTAGGGTTTTAGGGTTTTAGGGTTTTAGGGTTTAGGGTCCTGGGACCCAGAGGGTTCTGCGGGGTTTGAACTAATATAGGGGCAGTCATAAGTAGAATAGGGCTTTGGAGTTCCTTTAAAGGGTTCCTTAAAGGGTCTATAAGGGCTACTACAAGGGTTTAGTTTAGGGGCCTTAATAATCAGAATAGGGGTTTGGGACCCATGATACTATGAGTATATTAAGGAGCCCCCCCCCAAACAAAAATAGTATTGGTAATTATTTTGGCCCCTACATTTTAGCAACCTGCGTAAGAAATCCCGAACATCTCTTTGGGGAGATAGAGATGCATTGCCAGCCCCCAATTCAGAATCGGGAGGACTTGTCTCTCTGGTTTAGGGTTTAGGGTTTAGGGTTTAGTTAGGGACTCACGCAGACATTTTGGTCCGCGAAACGAGGATGCGGCGGAGTTCTTTGCTCGCCATGCGTTGCTGAGCGTGTGATTGGCAGTCAGAGCGACAAGAACACCAACCCTACTTGGAGGTCCAGGGGACTTAGTAAGTAGGTTATAAGTAGAGTCATAAGTACCCTAACTGGAGTTACCCCAATTATATCCCTACGTATAACCGACTTACTAAGTCCCCTGGGCCTCCAAGTAGTCGGGGAAGCTCAGGCTAAGCTTCCAGAGTCTTCCTACTAACACTAAACTCCACGTACCCCTACATGGGTGGTTGTCAAAATTATGGTCCCTTTTTGGGTCCTTATTATAATACGGCTCCTATTATTTAGGGTACCCCAAAAGGGACCGTAATGTTGACAACTACCCACATACTTGCACCCCGAAGGGTCTGATAAACACACAAAAGAGCTTTGGGTCTTCAAACAAATATTTCCTTGAGGCGCCCTGTAGCGGACATTTACTTACACATTCTTTAAGCCTGTTGAAACCTCGGCACCCGAAACCGTGAGCAGTACAAACGAGGACCAGAACCATGCCGCAGAAGTCCTTGGGGCTCTCGTGTTTTGCTCTTCAGGGATTAGGATGTTATCTAAGGACTTTAGGAGGGACC